AGCAGGAATTTTAGCCATGTTTGCACAAATTTTACATTCAAGATGACGGTGTTTCTGAATTTGTCTGGCAACATCTGAATGTCATGTTCAGTCAATGCATTTCAGAAATGTTTTAAGAGTGTTAGTCAGAATCTGAAAGTTGAAAACAGGGTTTGAAAAAATTTTTCTACTGTCTACTTACAGGTATTGCAGGTTCTAACATGCCTATCTCTAGCATTCATTAAAGTGAACAAGGACCAGTCTTTCCTCTTTCAGTATGTTTCAGAAATTTATTTTATCCATAGAATTTAACATGCTAACAACCTGAACAATTTATCTCACAGAGCAGTAACAGTGTTGGCAGTAATAGGAGGGCAAAGAAGGAATGAGTGAGCATTCCTTAGCCTCTGGAAAACAGAGATCCTGGAAAATGAGAAAACTGAAAAAGTCTCACTGATAAAAGGAGGATGGCAGCCCAAGAGCAAGAGATTTAGCGAAAGACTACGATGGTTTCAAAAGATGCAATGACCTATGTGTACAAAAATGAAGATTGGACCCCTCAGTACTGTGACTTGGAGGTATCTGGTTAAAAGAACTTCCCCCTTGCCTCCCCCTACAGTGAATATAAGAACAGTACAACTTGTTTATCTGTTAATGAGGGGGGAAAAAAGCACTTCTTTTTTCCCCTCATATATTAAGTGTATAAATACATATATACACACAAACATGTTAAAAAAAAATAAAAAAAAACACAGAAAGAGAGAAAAAAAAGTGTTTTCTTAATACAACACCTTTCCATCAGCAGGAGCACCCAACTCTTCTGACAACTGGGGATGAATAATCCACTTATAAGCTTCTTTCAGCTGAACAATGTCATCCTTTGCCAAGGAAAGGCCCAGTTTTCTGAATCACATACACAAAGAAATAATAACTTGCACAGGAGTCTGTCAAAGATAGATGCATGACAGATATAGTATCTCAAGACAAACCTAAGTAACTAGTCCCAGGTAAACAAGCAATGCACAAATAAAAAAGGACAAAAGTACCAAGCATACAGACCATGGCATGAAAGAATGAAAGGCTGTTCCATGATCTCCTAGAACAGCACTCAATCTTTGTATTGAATTAACAAAGTGTTGAGGAAACGTTAAGGCCAGACCAGGATTCTGGGTAAGATGCTTCCCAATAAACACATAAGAGTTCGGCAGGGAGTAGCTAAAGGTGTCGCTACTGGAGCTACAGTCAGCTCAAGCCAACTTAGAACTATGTTGCCTCCTCCCTGTCATTCCTGCCAGCACTTGCACACTGATACTACACAGCACGGTAAGTTAATACCAGCCTGTTGATCTCATTTAAAGCAAACCCTAAAAAGGTGTTGTTTTTCAGGCAGATGGGTGAGATGATCAGCTCTCCGGGTGGTCACATAAGCACTTACGTTATCCTTCCGATAGTAAATCAACATCTAGTCCAGCTTAAGTAAACTGAGTATCTGGACCCTGCAGGGCAGTACCTGTGCTACTTGCTAAGGAGCCTCCTGTCCAGCCTCCAGCCTAAATAATATCTTGTTTTGCCCCGTTTCTGTTTGCCAGTGCTTTTTTCACTAACATATAAAAACAGTTTCTTTTTCTTCCTGTGTAAAAGAACATGCACTGAGGAAACTCATGCCATATTTTCATGGTGGATCAAAAGTTGCAAGAGTCTTTCCACAGTCTACCTGGAGAAGAGCTGAAAAAGACATATGCACAAAAATCCTTTGTTTTAAAAAAAAAAAAAAAAAAAAGAAAAAAATTGTTAGACTTATTTTTACTGCTACAAGGGTGATCTAGTCCTTCATTAAAGGAGGGTATGAACTCCAGTGGGCACAAATTGCTAAAAGGAAAAGCCCAGATGACAACCTCAGTTGACCTTGCTGGGAGAGGCTCAACTACCTCTGTAGGTACAAGACCAGGCCTCGACTCCTCTGTCTTTGCCTATGGAGAGAGAAATTAAAAGGAGCAGATGCCTGTAAGGATACCAGCATATGATTTCAAACCACTTGTTTGGGAACTTACAGATCAAAGCGCACGTCCTCCTATACATATGGCACCAATGGTAGGCTACGTGGACAGTATTTGCCCTACAGGGTCTCATCCTCTCTCAAGCAATTTAATGAAACAATTGCTTTTAAATTAGTCTCAAAGTAGAAAGTGATTCATCACCTTTTAGTCTAGCTTTCTATGAATATCTTGCAATGGCACTTCCAGCCAAGATGGCTTCCACCAAAGACTAGCTCAGTATCCTCAACTAACTTTGAGACAAGTGGATTTCTTTCCTCTTGCCCACAAAGACAATTTATCCATTCAAAGACAAAGAATCAAGCGTTTAAATTGATTTCAGAACACTGAGGTATAAACAAGACGAGTCAAAACTAACTTGCACCCACGGCACTAATATCTTTCTCGCTACACTACTGACTTTTCACCATTATCTGACTAACAATTTTCAGGCACTATTAATGTAAGCTAAACCTGAAGAGGTCTGTATTTCATTATGTCTTCCATGTGCAAGAAGATTCTGGCTCATAGATGGCATCGTGGCACCTCTCAGGACCATTAAGCTAACTCAAAGCTGTACAGTTGGACAGACAGCCTGCACTCCAAGCTGAAATGCCATGTCCTAGCTATAACGACACTATGAGGCAAAATAGATAACGAACACCAATTAAGGTCAAACCAGGTAAAAAAAACCAAACAAAAAACCAAACCATCTGCCACCTTCTCCTTCGTGAGCATCAAGTAAACTGGACAACAGCATGATAACAAGACTGTAAAATCAACTTCTTGCCTGCTCAACATCTGTATAGACAAATGGTGTCTATATAAAAGAGTTTTTGTCAGACATACAGCGAAAGCTACAGACAATAAAAAAATTTAAAAAAAACCCAAATACAATGACAGCACATCACAGTTATGAATTTCCTTATGATTAGTGTTGAAGGTACAAAGTAAATTAAGATCTTGGCCAGGGACATAGGAAGTCAGTCTACATATTCCACAACTGTTAGCAGAAGTGCCTTTGTATGAAAGCAACTGTCTTGACCTCGAAAATATAGCATTAATTGCTTGGTTAAAATTTTCTCTTAACATACACGTCTCAGCAGGTGCACTGCACTAAGTGGTTTCTCATTTCTACTATGCTGGAAAAAAGTTATAGTAAGAGTATCTCTCCTTTCTCTAAATCTGGAGAACTCTCTAACAGAAGTGGTATGAGGGTTGCCAAAAGAAATTACTCACCCCATTTCCTGTTTTACCAGCAGCCAAGCAGCACGCTATAGGTCAACAGCCATGCCCAGGAAGAAGAGAGGAGAAAAAAAAAAAAAAAAGAAAAGAAAAAGCAAGTGAAATTCAGGCTCAAAACTCCCAACAATTTGAGAGGACAAAAAGGAAGTATTAGGATTTTAATATAGCTTTTGCTTTAGAAGTGGAAAGATAAAATTGGTATTTGTTTTTCTTTGTAAGACATCACTTTGCAATTTACCTCAAACCCTATCTGGCTTTATAAAAAAAGATCAGGCTACATAAAACACACTTTGAGACTTGCTATTAACTCTGTAACTAGAAAAAGACTCTGGCACCCTAAGTCAAGTGCAACTAGCAGTTATCTACCATACAAAGGGAAAACAAAAGTGTCTAAATGGATGATATATGAAAACTGATTTGACATCTAAATTAAAAAAATCAAATTCAGTTATCATCCATTATTAAAAACATGAAATAAAAGACATACTTGGTCTTATGGTAATCACAAACCCTTTCCCTGACGACTGTCCCCTTATTTAAAGCACACCATTTAGTTTAGGAGACATAGGCTGAATATGAGAAAGCTGAGGAACAGAAGGAATAATTCTAGAAATCAGACATTTTAGTACAAATGCTTGAGTTCACTAACAATTATTTATCACACAGCATACGCAGGAATGGCTAGAAGAGGTAATCGGAGAATCACGGGCAGATTCAACCTTGAATTCTCCTTTTTCATTTCCCAATTGCCAATTTCATTTCTCTGCTGCTTTGTGCAGATTCTCTGTGAATACCACCTTCTGCAGCTCCTGATACACTTCTTTGACATACATGACCATAGGATAATTCAGGGACCTCAGGAGGTCTCTATCCAACCTTGTGCTTCTAGCAGGATCAGCTATGAAATCAGACAAAGCTGCTCAGGGCTCTATCCAATGAATTCTTGAAAACGTCCAGTAATGGAGACTGCACCACCTCTCTGGACAACCTGCTCTAATGCATGATTGTCCACAATCCATGCATTGTAAATCCTTCCTCAAACTCTACTCCTCTCCTCTAGCAGCCTTATATATGTAAAGAAACATTATGTAGCAGGCCCCTTAGATGCAACACTGCCCAGGAAAGAAGACCATGAACCACCACTTAGGTGTCCCAGCCAACGAATGGAACTCAGCAGTATGAAAATTAACAATAGTTATAACAAAGGTCAAAAGCAGAATTAAAATTACCATTGGTATGAAAGGACGACAGAAAAATACAAAAGCAAGCACAAAGGAGCCATCAAATCAGTGCAACACTAACAGACTTGAACAAAATTAAAAATTATCAAGACTTCCAAACAATGCTGCTTATGCCAAAAGCTTCCAAAAGCACCTCTTTCCCAAACTCTGCTCTGGGGAGCCAAACATTTTAAAGATGCATCTCTTCGCAGTCTCACTCACTTCTCTTTGTACTGATATTGATTCTACAAAATGATCTATTATTTCGGTGCAGTAATTATTCAGCACTTTAGGCTTTAAATTTTGCCTCTGTGTGGGCCAAGAGTGACTGCCATTCTCTGCACCACAATGAAAATATACCTTACTAAACTGAAGTGCATTACAGCTAACCAGAATTTTAACTTTGAACTGAAATGGCTTTTCCATTAGGTCTTTAATTAAGTAGAAAAAAAAAGTGATGTTGGACACAGGTATTCCAAAGACCCGTACAATGTTTCCATTTCAGCAGAATGCCTATCAGTGCAAAAGCAATTAACAAGAAGAGAAAAACTCCCCTCAAAACTTCCTACAACAAAGCAACAACAACAACAATAACATTCTCAGTTCTTCCTCTACTAACAACAACAACAAAATACATTGAAACTGGCAGGATGCCACTTAACTAATAGAAACCGTACTGTCAATACACAGGCTGGACACCTAGTCTCACCATCCTCACTGAAGATAAATTTCAAAACCCAAGTTGTTTAGTTTGAAACAACTACAATAAAAAAAAAATCAAAATTAGTAGTTTTCGATCTGTGGACTACAGACTACTAGTAAAGTGTCAGAGAAAGGTAACTCCATACGCTTGTCATACAACCATATATACATATGCAATGTCCAAAAGAGTTGGTATCTCAAAAGCAGTAAACATCACTGATTTAAATTCTTCAGAATTTTAAATTCCTTCCCTGTCTTTCATTCTTCATATATTGTGCTTTGAGAATAACCCCCCCGCCCCACGCCCTGCCAAAAGAATTGCTGCCTATTGTCAGGGAAATAATTCTAATGAAGAGGTTTGAAAACATGTATCAAACTTAAAGGAGCAGAGCCAGGATCACATCATCTTTCCATTGATCACAGAATTAACCACATCATAGATCTCTTTACACACTGATAGAGGAACTCAATCAGAAAAAATGTCTATTATCCTTCCTTTGGTACATCTGAAAGAATGAGGGAACCCTAAAAACAGTGCTAGAAATATTAAGGAGAAAGAGGGATGGCAGAGAGAGAACACAAACTTTGTTAAATACGCGACACACAAAACAGCACGCTACTGAACAAAATAAATAGAGTTGTATTGATGGAATATTGTTTACTCAAATTCACTGTGATTCATTATCCTGCATTTGTAGACAGTATGAGTAAGACTGCTTCACAAAACACCATGAAGTATATTGTAATCTTGTTTGCATAATAACCCAGATAAGATCATAAATAAAAATAGTTGCCAATTGAAATTCCTTGAACATAATTCTGAACTAGAGAATATGACAACCATAGAACCAGGTCTAGAAATCTGCATTTGACAAATGCCAATTTAAAAAATCTCATATGCCTTGATTTAAAGCACATATAGGTTTGGTACTCAGTCGGGTGGCTAATCTCTTTCCTTTCCCCTGTTTTACAGGGGTACAATTACAAAATAGAGAAAACTTCTGCATGTAAGTAGCTATGCTAAAATGAGACCACAGGTCAAATTCCATCTCCTCTCTCTTGACTTCAAAACTGAAAGAGAATTAAAGAAATTACTTTTCCCCTTCAGTTAAGGGGAAACAATAGATTAGGGTACTGTGAGCACAGAAGCCAAAAGATCCCAAATTCCAAATCACATTCAACCACCAAGCCAGCCAAACCCCTCTACTCTCTCCCAGCTGTATGTGAAGCAGGGGATCAGATCCCTCTACTTCGTAATTACTTTATGTTTGTGAAGTGGTTTGAAAATGAAAAATGCTCATTACAGAGCTCAAGCCTGCAGGGCAATGCTTAACAGCAAATATATTTCTGAAATACACCAGCTCAGGCACTATATTGATTACAAGCTGCAGGATATTATTCTGATGCTATCTGAGGGATCACAGTGGCAACAGTTGAAATGCCATGTGCAATCCCAGCCACAGCATTTTTTCACTGTATTAGAAAAGAGCTTCGAGATGGGGAATTCCACGATGAGGTATACACGGTCCTACAGGGACTAATGACTACAGATGCTATTTGCATCAATGTCCTTGTAGCAAGTACCAGGATGATGGATCACAACTGAGACTACCAGACATAGCTAACAGTCACCCTTTTGAAGGGCATGACTCACTTCATATTCTAATATAGTTGTCTGACATAAACTTGGGACTCCTGTATTTATGATTTATTTTAATCAAATATCCTACTTGTGGAAAGAGGCGATAGCTTCTTTGCATTACAGATACAAATACTATGCAAATGTAAATTTTATGTCCCACTCTTCTTCGGCTCCCATCGTACATTTTAGACTTGGCAGGATGACAACTGTCATAATTAAATTAGTTGAAGGTAATATTAAAAGGCAGCTTCTGGTTTTCTGTCAAAAAGAAGTCAGAGAAAATCTGTGTGTCATACAAAAGGTCAATGGGAGGGAGGCTGTCTTCAGGGTGTGCTTTTATGATAAAATTACATATGTTCTTGTAGAATGCAGTTCAAAGAATTAAAAGCAGAATTTAACAAAAGACCTCTTTTCAACACAAAGCATTTTGAGATATTTTGACATATTATATTACTTTCTGCTTTTCTGTAACTGTAAAACAGGAGCTGTTTTTACCAATTGTTTTCTGAAGTGATAAATGGATAGGTGGTAAATAAACCCGCATGATTTTAAAAGCTTCTGTCTCCACCATCACCCATTTTCACCCCTTCAGTTAGAGCACAGCTACGCAAGCAGCTGTTTAGCATTTGGGAAGACTGAAGGGATGGAATAGACGGGACAGCAGGACTTTCCTAATGCAGACCTGCTCCCAGACGAACCAAAACTGTTTCCAAAGAGAACAGATCTGGTTTTGGAGCTTCCTACTCACTCATCTCACTCCACCTATTCATTTCTAGACCCACACCACAACTTTTATTCCCTTGGTTGTACCAAGCACTGTAGTATTGTTTGTTTGCTTGAACATAAGGACAAGACACTTTGAATGAAGCAGATGGACGGGTTAAAAATTACATTTCATCCCTTTTATCGAACTTATAATTTATTGCACTTAGAAGACAAAGTTACTATAAAGTAATAAATTCTACCGACTGCATCTGCCAAGTCAGTTTTCCCAGTCCACCCAGTCTCAGTGTATCATCAATATTTCAACCAGCAAGAGGAACTCTCTGAAGCAAACTATTATTTTTTGCTTCCATTTACAGCCAAGGCTGCCTCAAAAGCAAACAGAAACGCTTGCCCTGCTTGTTCAGATTAGCGTGAGAACACCACTGAGCTAGAACTGCAATGCAATAACACCCTCTACCGAGGCATTCTGGCAAAGACCCACAAGGAGGGTGAGGAAGAACAGTAGCATCAAATTTTTTTCTTTCCTCGCCTCCATCGTTATATAGCTATGCTATGGAAAAAAAACAAAAAGGAAGTTATTTTTAAGCTAGATAAACTAGAGCTGTCAAGCTAAAGACGCATAATGGAAACGTATTAAGAACTTGATAACATGGGAATTGCAGTTGGAACTCCAGCCAAAAGATTCCATACATCACTTTCGTTTTGCTCATTGAGGCTATAATGAATAGAGTAAGGGAGGTCTCAGTAATGACTAGCAAAGATAGACTGGAAATGGAAAAGACCTGATCAATAGTACCCTAAAAATAATAAGATTCCTCTTTTTTTAAACAGCTAAGCTTACACCGGGCATAAAGTCGGAGTAAGTTTGACCTACATTTGGAGTTTTACAGAGCATCATGGGCACACACGCACGCATCCATACACTCACCTAGCCTGAAAGTGGGTTGTTTTTTTTTAAAACATATCTTACTTTTGGGATGACCATAAAATCAAATGGGAGTAAGGAACGTTCATCCATTCAGAAAGCACAAAGCAATTTGATCTGGGATCATTTTACCAGACACAGCGGCAGCTGAAGCAAACACACCAACTATGCTTAATTTCAGATGGGAAGTAGAGAATCTTATGTTCAAGAAGACTTAGAAGTAGAATCTGTGTTAGCACAACGCAGCTATTACACTGGCATTGGCCCGAGATGCCAGAAGAGTACAAATCAACATTAAAAGTGTAGTAAATTATTTAACCATCAGGCTGTGTGGGATGAGAACAGACCTCACCACAGGTTTATATGTATATCCAAGAAGACCTATGCTTCTTTCTGCCACGTTCACTGAAGCTTCTACTACATCTTACCGCAGCAGGCATCTATCATAAAGATTTACATGTTGCCCTTTAGAATAGTATTTTTGCATCATTTTTTATCAGAAAGCAGGGGAACGCCATAAAACATCTCACAACTAAGGAAAAATTGGCATTTTATTGATCATAGATACTGTGCTTAGCATTCTCCCCCAACTTAAAAAAAAAAAAATTACCAGGGTTATACACCTCTCTATGTTATCATTATCTTCTGTAATTAAATGACTGAAATGTAAACAATTTAAGTTTGATTAAAATTGCCATGAAAATCAGTAGTTTTACAACTGCTACCAACCGTAGTTTTACAAATCTAGACTTTCAACAATGCCCCAGACAGGTGACTATTAAAATGTGTATTTTTGCATCATTTAAAATGCAGAACAGTTAAAATGTTGATCTTCAAATTCCTTCATTTGTATTCTGCACTACCAATTATCATTTATTTCAGGAAAGGCACCAGCTGTGCAGTTCCTTCTCTGGGCTAACTGAAAACTGAAGGGACTTAGACACTTTATTAATTAACATAATACTCACCAACAAGGAAGGGGACAGCAGACTTCACTTCTAGCATGTGGTTTTGTTTTTTTTAAACAACAGCACTTAAAAATCAAACCACTTCCAGCTTGTACATTCCACAGTTATTCTCTTTAATATGCATTTAAGTTATGAAGAAATATCTGTAAACACTTACCTCCCTAACAGACAACTGTGGGGGTAGCGACACAGAAAATACAAAACTAGTGAACTGGTAGTCAGCGGAATTAACCTTTTGGCACACCTGTTAAAGAAGGATTTTAATATTAAACCACAGCAATGGAACTGAGTTGATAATCTTTCAGGATATTCTTTATTCTAGTGTAATCGCTATAAATCCATGTTAATACACATTCAGACAGATACCAACACACAAACCAGGGTAATCCCTAACAACTTATTGAAATATAAGCTTTTTTGTTCCGTTACCAAAAAAGAGAAAAAGTTACAAATAAACTGTATCCTTATTGCTATGACACAACCAAACTCGCCATTTTAAGGCTAAGAGCAACTGTATAGCGAAATCTTAGTGCAACAAATTACACCACAGTGACCAAAGGCTAGAACAGCTGACTCAGAATATCTGTCTTCATGGCAGTGATACAATTCTATGACAATAAAAACGTTTTAAGATCCTGGGATAAGACAGGAACAAACAGGTGTCCACAGAATTCATTCATAATCACTCTTCATCGTAAAAAATCACGTTTGTCACTGGAAATAAAGTAAGAACCCAAACACACATCAAACATTTTAAAGTAGGCTAGCGAGAGCTGATGGCTAGATGTCCCTACTGGAAGTAACCTTAAACACACATGGAGAAGTCATCCAAGATGCCAGTGATTTTAATTTTAGTGAATGTTAAAACTGAATTGTGAGCTTTCAAGGTGAAATTAACTTCTCGGATAAGGAAATTTCCTTATAAAATCATCAAATTTTGTGGTGCCTTAACAAATGCTGACAGATTTTCCGTTGCTACTCAAGAGAGTACAAGTCTTAGAAGTGGATTCTTTAAAAATATCTATACTCTGCCAATGGAAACAAAAAAACCCTATCATGCACAACAACAGAAACTATATACTATGCTTCCTGTTTAGTCTCATTTTTAGATATATTCATGCTATTAAACCAAATTCTTTTATATTAAAACTCTGTTAAACATCGCAAATGCAAGTGTGATTTTTCTCGTTGATATTTCAGTTTGTCAAATAAGCAATTTTATTGCTCAGAGATGATGTTTGCAACGCTCATGCCCATATTCTCTCCTAACTCATATTTTCTCCATTATCTACAATCTGTTGTAGCACCAAAACATTTTTTTCCCTCTGTGGCTTTCTAAATAGTAGTACATTGTAAAGACAGACTCATGCTACATTAGGAACATGTAGTTAAGCTGAAGAGCATAGCAGTTGACGCCTCCTCATTTTCCCTTCACAGAAGTAGAGAGAGGTGACCATTTACAGTGAGGTTTTCCTTGTAACCTAAGCAGCTGAACCTCAGGTTACCTCCTAAATTCATGTAACCACGTATCTGTTAGTCCTTTTCATAGGCAAATGTGCCCCTAGCAGTCATTCCATTGCACCTGCATTGCTATGTTTTCTAAAAAGTTACATTATGACAAGGCCTGGGTAAAATATGGTCACACGGACAAATTTTATGTCCCAGCTGCAGGGGAGGTATGCAAACGCTGTCAACGAGCGGTATGTAGTTGAATGGCGCCATCTACATTTCAAATATTCAAAAGAGGTCAATATTTCAGTTTGTTTTCTGGTATCTTTCTCTCAATTGTTTAACTGCACGGGTTTTTTTAATCAGCGGCTCTATACTGTAGACCCCAACATGCACAAGCTCCAATAAAAGTACACATGAAGATTAAGAACGGGTTATTTACCTTTTTAACAAAGTCAGCCTCGCAGAACTCCTGAAGAATTCCCAAACACACACTGCAAATGTTCACAGCTGAGTTCTCCACTGCAGTATTTTCATCATTAACCGAAGGAATCTGCTGCAGCGCTCCATTGTGGTTCAGATCATCAGGCCCTTCTTCTGTGTGTTCAAGTCTGATTCTCTTACAAGGTGGATCAACTACGTCAAAACAAACCCTATCTTCTTTTTCTTGATTATTTTTCAGAAATTCTTTTAAATCCTTCATCAAATCCTAACACAAACAGAGGAATCATACTGTTGTTGGTTTTTCCTCTTTTCTCCAATGCTGTAACAAGCACTTAAAAACACAATTCTAAAAGGTAGTACTAACCATTCCAGTTTAGCCTTAGTGTATGTAATTAATAACTTGGAATTTATAGCAAAAGACATCTACACGTTTAAAAACCTCCAAGCTGTATTTCTCTCCAAATGTTTTCCAGAGAAATTGAATTTTGCCCAGCAGGCTTCTTTATCATCCAAGAAGAGTGAGAACACTTTACAGACCTGACTTGCAGAAATGCATTTATCTTTGGCCCCATCACTATTCAATGAAAATAGATGTTTATTGCCTTTTGGTCATTTAGATTATGTTAGAATTTAATTCCTCCAACTCCACTAGCCCAGATGACTAGGAAGAGAATTGGCTAGTATAGTATGAGAAGAAAATGAAGGCAGATACTGGTGAGGGTGAAATTAAATACACAGAGGAAGAACTTCATATAAAGACAGAAGCCTACAAAAATTAAAGGATGTGCTGGTGAGGAGAGACAAGAATTACCTGCAGGTCTGAATTTTAGGAAGGATGAGAGATAGAGGCAAGACATAGTTCAGAAAGAAAGATTTATTAAAAGGTCTTCAGTAACAAAGACAGCAGTAACTGTGTTGCTGCAACTCAGGAATATTAGGTAGAGATACAAAAGAATAAAAAATGTCGCACAGAATGAACACTTCTCAAATCACTGATAGAAAATGGAAAAGGACAGGGAAGAAAGATGTTACAAATTCATTCTAGAGAGTCTAAACTTGAACAAAGGTGAAACAATCAAGACAGGCACCAGAAGATGCAAGCATAAAGACAAGCGATTCGTCCAGGTAAATGGAGATGTTTATTTGGCCTACACAATGAGGTCTCAGAGAACCAATATGGAGGAGGAGCAAATAGCCAAAACCAAGTTGAGGAGTATCAAATACAAGAACAAAGGCAAGAATGATTGTGCACAACTAGGAAAAAGTTTGAAGAACACTGAATTTCAGCACTAAGGTCAGCTAAAAAGGACGCCTAATAACACTGAGTTTGACTGGTTGAAAAAGGAAGATTTATCCTTAACCCGTGCTCTGCAATTCTTCAGTTACATCCCCCTACCAATTCTACTGAAAGAAGGAAGCACGAGGCAAAAATGTTTGGAGCATAGATGGTTTCTCCTCTGCATCAGCTGCACTGCCCACAGCCCCTTTACTACCTATTACATTAAAGGAAAAAGAAGAGAGGGAACAGTCATAGCTGCTCTGCTTCAAATGTGGTAGAGCCATGCTGTGCAGAAGCTAACATGCCCTGTTTTCTGGTGTTTTCAGGGAATACATAGCAACTTTCACAGTCAAACTTCACCCACAACAATTGTTATATTCTATGATTCTTGTAATTTCTCAAAATTGCACAGTGTAGCAGCAGTCATTTTTCATACCTCATTTTGCAAAGCATTCTCCTCTCAGGCAAAGAGTCCAAGAATACAACAACCTTCTCCTCCAAGGCAGCGCAAAGAACACTGCATTCGTACGTTCACACATTCTAATTAGGAATACAAAGACCAAACCTTGTATGGACGTCTATAAAGCGCCTGTGATCCCACGCAGCAGAACCTCAAAATACATCGTGGGCAAGTGCCAGTGTTCAGTAACAGCTGAACAATCGGTCTGTCCTTTTCTGTTAGTGAAGACATCCTGGATAATTCTAAAATTAAAAAAGAAAAAAGCTTAGAATAAATACAATTCAGCAATTCAATAATAAAAGGACTCATTTAACTGCACTGTATTTAGAATCGCTGGATTTTTTTTTTTTTGTGCTCTAGAAAAAGTTTAGGATACATGTTTGTCTTAAATCAAAGGCACAACATAATTGGAAGACCAACCCAAAAAGACCACTGACTCAGGGAAAAGCTTCTGTACTTCCTAGAAAAATCTCAAGTCAAGAGTTCTGACAAAGGTATGCTGAGCTTTTGATCAGAGTTTTATCTTTGGTAAAGTGCATTACATTACATGTTACCCTTTACTGAACAGAGAAGGCGGGTGGAGCCAAGACATATTAAGCTAATCGTACAATGGCAATTCCTTCTAAAATTGTAGCAATTAAAGAAACATTCTGTTAAAATCACAGGGAAAAAAACCCCAACCAACCAAAACCCAGATGCCATCCCCTTTTGTCACACAAAGCCCTAAAGGCAAAAGAAGTCTTTTCTATCCATTAGCCTCTTCAATTTTTTGAGATTTCTTATTTCCTATCTCAAATATTGGACTACTGTTTTTGTGGGAGATCTCATAATGCTTTTTTTCCTAAAAGATTATGGGTAATTTGGTTTCCTATCACCCCCTCTGCCTGGAACTTTAGAGCAGACTAATTTCGTTGGGTGAAATTTAATAGTGGGCTAGAACTCCCAGCAAACTTAAGTTCCTGCATTTTTAGAAAAATATGGAAAAAGAAAGATTCCGAGCGAGGTGCTCACCCTTACTAGATTTCTAGGAAAGTTTAGGAGGCACATAAGAATAACCACAGTTGTTCAGACCAAAGGTTTAGTTAGTCTACCGTCACCCAAAGCAGGAATAAACAGATGCCACGGGAAAATATGCCTGTGCAGGGCATATACCTCTGCCAAGTGCTCTCTGCCTCCAGTTTTTTCTGGTGGGGGATTCCTTTGACTTAGTGAGGTTTGCCTGTTGGTAAACCTTAACAGATCTCTCCTCCAGTCCTTCTCCAGTGTCTCCTTGAAATTCTTTTGCCTCTACATCCTTTGGCAAGGAATTCCACAGTACCTACTGACAGATGAACCACTTGATTTTGTTTTGGACTTAGCTCCACTATGCAATATTTTATATCCCCCTAGTTTTTATACTGCAAGAGGCAGTGCAGAGGCAGGATATATTGGCATTCTCCGTGTCGTGCACAGTCTGTTAAACCTTTAATGTCCTATCTTACTCAGGAGTACCTTGCACAGAAAAACCTTCACAGCATGGGAAAAGTTATTGATTCAATTAATTTAGTTTCTCCTGGATTTGGTTTCTTTATGGTAAGCGGTAAAAACTATCTAGAAAACTTCAAACCTGCTTTTAAAAAGAAAAAATAAAACAAACATACTTTCAGGTGACTGTCAGCTCGATTCAGCTTAGAATCATAGAACGCTGTGGGTTGGAAGGGACCTTTAGAGATCATCCAGCCCAACAGCGAGCAGGGACATCTCAACCAGATCAGGGTGCTCAGAGCCCCGTCCAACCTGACCTGGAATGTTTCTAGGGATGGAACCTCCACTACCTCTCTGGGCAACCTGTGCCAGTGCTTCACCACCCGCATTGTAAAAAATTTCTTCCTTATGTCTAGTCTAAATCTATTCTTCTTTAGTTTAAAACCATTACTCCTTGTCCTGTCACAACAGGCCTCGCTAAAAAGATTGCCCCCATCCTTCCTGTAGGCCCCCTTTAAGCCCTGAAAGGCGGCACTAAGGTCTCCCCGCAGCCTTCTCTTCCCCAGGCTGAACAACCCCAGCTCCCTCAGCCTGGCCTCGAAGGAGAGGGGCTCCAGCCCTCCAATCATTTTTGTGGCCCTCCTCTGGACCCGCTCCAACAGCTCCATGTCCTTCTTGTGCTGAGCTTCATGAGACTTAAAATATTGCCACAATCAATTTTCACGCTTCCATCGTCTGAACCAAGGGAGTTAAGAAGAAAAAAAAAAAAAACCCAAAACACTGAG